GGGACATTCACCCACCTCCCTTAAAATTTTGGCAACTGCCCCGTGGTGGATGGTCAGGAATTAAATAACAAAGCACCTGTGGAAGGTTCTGTCCACCAGTGGTTTTCCCATCCTTCCCAACACTTCACGTCCAGCCCCTCCCAGCAGCACTTCCAGCATCCTGGTTTTCAGCTGCTGGAGCCCGTGGGAAAAAAGGTGAATTTTAGTGGTGCAGTGGAACAGTTTCATCTTCATCTGTAACTGGGGAAGAGTTGCTTTGGTAGCAAAATCTCCTCTCCTGAAGGCTGTGTCACTTCCCAATCCAGATGGCAAAGGAAATGGAGAAATTAGGGGAGGTGCAGCACTCTGAGTGCCCTGGATCATCCCAGCATTCCAGGCTCAGGGATCTGCAGGAAGCCATGGTGAGTAACGTGCCTTTTATTTTACCACTATGGGAAAATTAGGGGAAAATACAGGAGAAAAGAGAAAAAAAGGTGCTGGAGGAGGAGGGAGAGGGGTGTAAGTTTAGTTCACGTGAGGCAATACTGGCTCTGCCCTTATTAAAGAATCCCAGGAGGGTCTGGGTTGGAAGGGCCTTAAAGATCCTCTTGTTCCTAAACCAGACCATTCTCACCTGCATCAGTCCCAAGTCCCTCAGGGGGCAAGGACACATAATTGTTGTGGCAGTGCCATTACTGCCTCGATCAAAACCAAAATAAAGCCAAGGCCACTCTGCCTCAACCCAAACCCACACAGCTCTCACAGCTGCTTAACTTCAAAGGCTCCCCCTGCCAGCTGCAGGAACCACCAGATGGAAGCTGCTGCTCCCAAGGTCCCCAGGCTGGGAAATGCATTTTCCATTAGACAGAACCATAGAATCACAGAATCACAGAATCAGCTGGGTTGGAAGGGACCTCCGAGATCATCAAGTCCAACCCTTGATCCAACCCCGCCGTGGTTCCCAGCCCATGGCACTGATGCCACATCCAGTCTCACCTTAAAAACCTCCAGGGATGGAGAATCCACCCCTTCCCTGGGCAGCCCATTCCAATGGCTGAGCACCCTCTCTGCAAAGAAATCCTTCCCAATATCCAACCTACCCCTCCCCTGGCCCAGCTGAAGACCCAGCCCTCTTGTCTTGCTGATGGTTGCCTGGGAAAAGAGACCAACCCCCCCCTGGCTCCCCCCTTCTGGCAGGGAGTTGCAGAGAGTGAGGAGGTCTCCCCTGAGCCTCCTCTTCTCCAGGCTGAGCCCCCCCAGCTCCCTCAGCCTCTCCTCACAGCACTTGTGCTCCAGTCCCTTCCCCAGCCTTGTTGCCCTTCTCTGGACCTGCTCCAGCCCCTCCATGTCCTTCCTGAGCTGAGGGCCCAGAACTGGACACAGCACTCCAGGGGTGGCCTCCCCAGCGCTGAGTCCAGGGGCAGAATCACTTCCCTGGCCCTGTTGGCCACCCTGTTCCTGAGCCAGGCCAGGATCCATTGGCCCTCTTGTCCCCCTGGGCACACTCTGGCTCCTGTTCAGCTCCCTGTCCATCCCCACTCCCAGCTCCCTCCCTGCCTGGCTGCTCTCCAGCCCCTCTGGCCCAGCCCGTGGGGCTCAGGGGGTTGGTTGTAGCACTGCATGGGATGCTCTGAAGCTGTGACAGCCCGGGCTCCTCGTGCAAGTTCCCTGCCCCAGAACGAGGGCTCTGCAGCAAAACCAAACAGCAAAACCAGCAAAAACCAGGCTCTTTAATTAATCCAGCAACACCTTGGCCAGGCCAGATGGTCCCCACTGCCCGGGAAGTGTCCCTGAGCCAGCCCAAAAGCTGGAACACTCGATCTGTGCTTCAAGTTTAAAGCCAAGACCCAAAGTTTCAAGCACCTGAAACACTCCCCAGCCTGCAACAGGCTCATCACCTCAGTAACAACAAAGCAGAGCCTTAATTCCATTGGATTTTCATGTGGAAACTACCCAAATAAGTATTATTTTAGGACATTTAAACCCTATTTGTACTGAACATATACTGGAATGGTGGTTCATGTCTGGCTTCCAACAGCACTACCTGCAGAGTGAAGAGCCAGCAACAGTAATTTAGGATCTTTTAGTATTTTAGTATTAGTATTAGTAATTTAGTATTTTTTTTTTGCTGCAAGAGACAAGGTTAAGCAAAAAAAAAATACCAGAATCATGAGCAGGATATTTGAAATGAGCCCTTGAGGAAACAACCAAGGAAAACCCTCAGGGTTGCTCAGAAACTTATTTCTTAATGACACTAAAAACAGATTAAACCTTTTCCACACAAACAAGGATGGAAAACTTTTAAGGTTGCTCAGAAACTTCTCGTTTCTGGTTTCTTAATGACCCTGAAAACAAATTAAACCTTCTCCACCTGCAGCTTTTCCAGGGATCACTGTCACTCCAATCCTCCTTCCAAGCCACTCCACAGGGTGGATATTCCAGGCTGGAAAATATTCCATCACCCCAGTTATTCCTGCTCTTAAAAAAACAAGAATATGGTGTGTTTTAACAGGAATATGAGGTTTACAGGAATATGGTGTTTATAGGAATATAATGTGTTTATAGGAATATAATGTGTTTATAGAAATATGATGTTTATAGGAATATAATGTGTGTTTATAGGAATATAATGTGTTTATAGGAATATGATGTTTATAGGAATATAATGTGTGTTTATAGGAATATAATGTGTTTATAGGAATATGATGTTTATAGGAATATAATGTGTGTTTACAGGAATATAATGTGTTTATAGGAATATGATATGTGTTAGGAATATGATTTTTATAGGAATATAATGTGTATTTACAGGAATATGATGTTTTTGCAGGAATATAATGTGTATTTACAGGAATATGATGTTTTTGCAGGAATATGATGTGTATTTGCAGGAATATAATGTGTATTTACAGGAATATAATGTGTATTTACAGGACTATGATGTGTGTTTCTGCAGGAAAACCTGATGGAAGGGGAAGGAAGAAGAAAGATTTAAACCCCAATGGATTAACAGAGCCCAAATAAGGTCTCAGAGCTGCGGCAAAATCGGCTCCTCTTCACGTGGTCTTTGCTTTTTGGGTCACGATGTGAATAAACTGCTCTGAAGTTGCATTTAAATGGCTGAAAATAATGGTGTGGGTTATTGGATTAAAAGAGGGACATCCCAGTGCAGGGGTGGGGGCAGCAGGGCAGGCTCTGCTTTGTGGCCTGCAATGAAAATTTGGATGTGGTAAAACTTTGATTTCACATTTTGAGCCAAAAACCCTCCATGATCTCCCCGGTCTGTGGCTAAAACAGCACCAAAACTTCATTAAATACCCCAAAAATAAACTTACTGCTGGGCTGGAACTCCCCTCACGCCTCGGTGTAGGTAGGAAAGACTTTTAAAAGCTCTTTTTTTTTCCACTGGTTCGGCCATAAAAACTACATTTATTTTAAAAAGGTATTTACAAACTTTACAAGAGTCAATACATTTTAAAAAAAACCACGGAAATTTATACACCTTGCTTTACAGAGACTCCTTTCCCAAAGCTCCTGCTCTCTCCAGAGAGCTGTTATTTTTTAATTAAAGCTGTATTTTTTTGCTGATTCAAATGCAGAGGACTTAAAAAAAAAAAAAAAAAAGAGGGGAAAAAGAAAAGGAAAAGAGAAAAAAGAGAGAAAAGAAAAGCCTGCAGAGGTGAGTTTGGAGTTAAAAAACCACATCCAGGACACACAAACCCACGTCCCACAAACTCCAAATTCTCCCAAAATCACAGCAAAGTTTGTCATGATTAAACCTTTATAACCCCACAGTGAGAAATGATATTAATTAGTACCATGTACCTGAATTTTGGAGCTGCTGAGGAACTTCCACCTCTGTTTAAAAATACAAACCAGCAGAAAAGTTGAGTCTGGGAGTGCCAAACTGTCCTAAAGGTGCTTTAATTAATTAATTAATTAATTAATCAATCAGAGCAGAATCAGGTGAACCTCACGTGCCAGTGCAGAGGGGAAAAAAAAAAATCACATTATTGTTTAATTTTTCTTTGCTGCTTTAGTCCTTGCAAAAGCTCATCCTGATACAGCAGAAAATTTGGTCTGCACCAGTAAAAATGAGATAGCTTTTAATTAAAAAAAAAAAATTAAAAAAAAATCAAAATAAGGCAGCAGAAACGGGTCAGGAATGTTTTCACTATATATATATATATATATAAATATATATATATAAATATATATAAATATATATATATAAATATATATATAAATATATATATATACAAATATATATATATAAATTAGTTAAATTACAGATTTCAATTTATTATTTCCATTTACATTTAGAAAAATAAATAAAGAGAAGATCTGAGGGGCCAATCTGTGAGTCTGGAGCAAACCCTGGGCTGGGAGAGGGGAGTTTCTGGGATGTTTATTTATTATTCCCCAAAAATCTTTGCACATCCAGGGGGGCGTTTCTGCCACTGCACATCCCAGAGCTGCTCTCCCTGGAATTCTGTGTCCTTCCCTAATCCCATAATCCACCCAAACTCCTGTTCCTGCCCATCTTCCCCCGAGGTGGATTAGAGCCTGGAACATTTTTCAAGGAATTTAGCCCAGCACGCCCAGTTTTAATTAAAAAGCTCCAGCAAACGAGTGTTGCAGCACATTTCTCTCCAGGGGGACAAAAATAAAACCCTCAAAAACTTGAAATTGTAACACCAGCTTTGAACAGCAGGGCTAAGAAACTGGATTAGGGTTTTGCCTTCTGGATTTTTAACTTGGAGATTTGGGGTTTCAAACTGTAAATTGGGTAAAAACACTGATTTTTTTGGTTTAATTCCTCACGTGCAGAGAGCATCATTATGGACCATCCTGCTCCCATTTTTAGCCCTCCAGTTTAAAAAGCATCAGAGACACATCCAAGAGCATCCAGTCAACATGAAAAGATGATTCTTGTTTAACAAACTAAGTAGAGACACCTTAAATTCTGAAAATTAAACCTCAGAACTCAGGCAGGTGCTGGAGCAAAGAGCAAACATAGATGTGGGCACTTAATTCCACTTAATTAAAATCAGTCAGGCCCAGGGTTTAGTCACACACTTAAATGCCCAACTGCCTTTAAAAAGCTGAAAATTAAATGAGTTTTTTTTTGGAGGGGCTAAAACTGGCACAAAGCCCTGAATGTTTCAGGCACAGAACAGAAATTCCACCTTGTACCTCTGGTAAAAATGCTGATTTTTATCAGCCAAGAACATCCCAGTCGGTCCCACAGGTAAGAAAACAACCCCAATTTGGGAGCAGTGGAGAGAAGTGGGAAGAGTTCACAGCACTTCAGACTCTACAACAAAAATAAGGCTGAGAAAGGGAAAAAGAAAAAGAAAATCACCTGATTTTAACCCCTTTCTGGCAAATTTGCCAATGAAAACGCTCAAAAAGAGGAGAAAGACTGAGCTTGGGATTAATCAGCGTTGGCAGTGATTTAATTAATTAATTAATTCTGCTTTTAACCAGCAGAACAAGAGAAAGGTGCAGCCAAAGGGCATTAACTCCTTTGTTTGCTAAAAGGTATAAACAGGGAAAAGTTTGGACCCCCCACTACCAAAAATTCAGGGTGAGGAAGGGCCAACAGGATGCTGCTGGACCCACGAGTGCTGAAGATTTTCTGCCTGATCTCTCTCTCTCTTTTCTATTCCTTTCTGCCTCTCCACCTCACATTTCATGTTAAATAATAAATACAATATTGACTTTGGCACGTGGCCTTGTTTGCACCTTAATTCAGGCAGAGGCTTCTCCAATAATCAGATTTTAACACGCCTTTCGTGCTGTTTAAGGTTCCTTAAGCCAAATAAAAGGGCTTTTTAAAGCTTAAATTACACCAAGCACTGAATATTCCCGATTTTTGCAGCGCTGGGATGTGTTCCAGCCACCCCCTGCTCACTCCCCTGCCTCTTTAGAGACTCACCTGTCTCCAGGTGACTCTGGGCTCAAAAATGATCACCCAGGAGAGACAGAAACTGGTTTTTTTTGAGCCAAAGAAAGGAAGGGAAGGGGGAGGATAATTAACCACTTACACAGCAAGTCCTCAGTTCATAAACCTCACCTATAAAACTGCACAGAAAGCAGTGAGAACCAAAGCTCCTCAGGTTAAAGGGCAGAGTGGAAAGGGCAGAAAGGTCAGCTGGAAAATTCTTGCCAAGGTCAGAGCTCCTCCTGGGAGGGGTTTTTTTTGCATGGATTGGTTCCCTCCTCCAGGAAAAATGCACAAGGTACACCCACCTTGTGTTAAAGTTGTGAAAGAAGAACAAAGAAAGGGTGGAAAATGAGACTTGAGAGTCACTGGGCACCAAAATATCCAAAACCTGGCAGCTGGTTTGTTCACCTCATTCCCTGGGATCCCCACTCTGTTCCTGCTGTCTCTCCAAAGGAATTAAAAGCCAACCTGCCCTGGCAAGGAAATGCAGCCAGGAATGAGGGACCAGGCAGATTCAGAGAGGGGAAAGACACTGAATTAACCAGAGGTGCGGGTGAGATGCACTGCAGACATCTCAGACCACATCCTGCTCTTCTGCCTGAAGCAAAAGTCTCACAAGGAGACAAAAAGTTCTTGCTGGAGCGAAGTTTGGGAGGATCCTGGAGTTCCTGTGAGCAGGAGGGAAGTGGTTACGAGGGGAGGAAGAAGTGGATAAAAACCAAAAGACAAGAAACCCCCCCGTGGTTTTCAAGTCAAGCAGAGTCTGTGTCCCAGAACATGAGGAGGAGCTGACACGTCCCCTGGTGCTCCAGGGAGGGGGGGACCTGGCCAGGGTGCCCAGGAAGGTTTCCAAGATTCCCCCTGGGAAGCAGCAAGGCAGAGGCAGCTGGGAGTGTGTGCAGCAAAGGGGCTGTGCACGGATGTGATGTGACTGCCCTGCAGCCCCTGGAACATCCCCAACCCGATGGGAATGCAGGGTGACTCTGGGATGCAGACAATCTGTCTGCCAGAGCCAGCAGCTCCTGGAGTCACACAGGAGGCACAAGAATCCAGAGGAACACAAGAAAGGACAACTTCAGGCTGAACAAACCCCCCCCGGGGCTTCCCTGGGTTTGCTTTTCCCTGAAAAACTTCCACGAGGTTTAACAAACTTCATTTTTTCACTGGGAGCCGTTTCTGTGCGTAATGAAAAACCATTTCTGGCTGTAATGAAACCCCATTTCAGTCAGGTGAGCACAAAAAAGGTGCAGTGGCCTTCAAAAAAACCCCCAACCCAAGAGTTAATTGTATTTACTACTGTCAGCAACATCCTCAGCAGGTTTTTGGTGGCTCCCCCCAACTTGTCATTTGACTTCTGATTATCTGGTGCAAGTTACAGTTAACAAGTAAAATTATCTCCTGGGAAAGAAAATGCTCCTCGATACTGATGACAAATTAATTCCAAACAGACAAAGTTTCTTATAAGTTCAGAAATTTGGATCCAAATTCCTCAGCTGGTCCCTCTTTGTGAGTTTTAAGAATGTTTAAATTTTCCAAGAAGTCTCAATCTATATTTTGCAATTTTGAGTTCCACAGTGAAAGGGAAGAACAAGAAGCAATTTTTTGCCACTCCCTGGAAAACATCAGGGAAAAAATAACAGCCAGGACACGACCAGGGCAGTCTCAGAGGCAGAGTGGAAGGGCAAAACCCTCTGCCTGAATGGGGCAAGAGAATAATTCTTACAAATCAAGGAAACCTTGATTTTCTGCTGCTGTGGCAGCAACAGGCAGCTGCAGCTTTGGGGGGAGATATAAATGATGATATCTAAAGAAATTCTGAATTAGGCAGCTTGGCAGGAAAAGCAAAGTTCTTTATGATGCATTATTCCTGAAACAGGCACTCTGGGGAAGTCCTGCTCCACACAGGATTCCAGTGGCAGCTCAGCCATGGGAATTCTGTGCCTGAGGCCCAGCTGGTCCAGAAATAACACCGGTATTTGTGTTGGATTTTTGGTCACTACGCAACTGTGGGCACGGGCTATTCCTGCAGTGCCACAGCCCTTCCTGCAGGATTTTAAAGACGTGAAAACCTAAAATCTTGTTGATTTTTCTCTATACAAACAGAAAGACATCCAGACAGAGCGGGGAATAAATAACTAAAGGAAAAATTAAATACATTACGCCATCCTCCAAGGAAAGAAAAGAGTGGAGTGATCCAAGCAAGAGGAAAAGAGGTGCTTAATTGTCAAGTCTTTCACACATCCCAGATCTAAATGGCTGCTTAAAGTCCAGTCTATCAAAAACCTGGATCAAGGGAGGCTCTAAACCAAAGTGCAAGTACTGCCACAAATGGGGGCAGGGGGGAAAAAAAGAGAATTACTTGTACTTGTGTGGATGTGCCCAAAGGAAAGGCCACAGGAGAGAATCAGAGTCTCGTGGCTGAGGTCAGGATGGAGAACTGGGTTTGCACATTCCATCCTCTCCAAGCGGCTGGGACCAGTCCAGCCCTGGTATCAGTGCAGGTCCTGGTACCAAAGCAACTGGGACCAGTATAATCCTGGTATCAATGCAACTGGGACCAGTATAATCCTGGTATCAATGCAACTGGGACCAGTATAATCCTGGTATCAATGCAACTGGGACCAGTATAATCCTGGTATCAATGCAACTGGGACCAGTATAATCCTGGTATCAATGCAACTGGGACCAGTATAATCCTGGTATCAATGCAACTGGGACCAGACCAGCCCTGGTAAAAGTGCAGCTTCTCTTCACCTCCCACATTCCCAGGAGAGACCTTTCCCACCCCTTTAAAAAGCACAGAGGTGAAGTTTTGTCCCAAGTCCCGGACACAGGGATGGGACCACACAGGGGACACAGCTCAGGGAGGGTCTCAAGTGCTCTGTAGGGTTCAAATCAGGGAAATCCTGGCAAAGGACTGGTGAACTCTCCCTGGAGCAGAGCTGGAGTGAGGCAGGGGCTGCTCTTCATCCCACACACAAACAAAAAAAGCAGAGAAAAGGCTTTTCACATCTGCTCCCAACGCTCAGGTCTCTGCCTGCAACCAGGGATCTTCAGGGACTTCTCCCACCCCACACCTTGGGAGCTGCTGCTTCCCAGCAGGAATGGCTGGGATCTGCTCCACATCATAAAGATCTGATCTTGGCTCATCAGGGATCACAAATATGAGAAATAAAAATACTTTTATATATATATATATATATAGGTGTCTCGTGAGGTTGTAAAATATCCAAGTTCCAAAACCTGAACTGGAGCATCAGGGTCTTTTCTTCCTGGATAAGGGAAATGCAAAAGTCCTTAAAAATTAAAATCTTTCAGGGCCAAGTGAGAATCTTGTGCACAGGGGCTTCCTCTTCTCTCTCTGGCCTAAAGGAAGATCCATCATTTTTGACAGAGGATGCCCGGTGGCCAAGTGGAAAGAAGGGAAAGCCCCTTTTCAGAGAAAAGAAACCCTTTTTAGGCAAATATTAAGCTTAAAAATATTAAGCTTAAAAATATTAAGCTTACCTGAAAAAGGTGGGATTTTGTAAAGCTACAAAAGGCATGAAATTTAAACCCAAGGGGGTCTTTTCTCCCCGAAAACTCGGGGTGAGACCGGACCCAGAGAGCGCTGAATAAATCCTCTCTTTTTGTTTCGTGAGTTTTTGCAGTTCTTCCTAAATTCAAGGGAGAAATTTTCCTCCCAACAAACCCAGCTCAAAACTCACGTGAAAATACTGCTGGACACACCTCCCACTGCTCTGCCTCCCCTGGCTTCAGACCCCCGGGGCAAAATCGCTCCTGGGACTGATTACACCGGGAAGGAGCCGCTGGAATTGCAGCAGGGATGGAACTCAGGGCAGACAACACTGAGAGAGACGAGAATTCCAGTAGGGATTAGTGTCCCAGGGAAAGCAGGGCTTAGGGAACACAGTCAACAACAGTTCCTTTTGGTCTTTCCCAAGGAAAACTCCAAGGGATGGCAGGAGGGATCACCGGGCTGGGGGTGGGATCCTCCCTCACTGCAGCCCCTGCTCCGAGGACACCACGCTGGATTTCCTGGTTTTTGGGGGTGGAGGGGGAGGTTTGGCTTCCCTTCTGCTGGGCAGTGGTGGAGCAACCTGAGAAGGGGAAAACACACAGAAAAATAAACCATTACTGGCAAGTGGAGGCGTTTTCCTTCACCAAATGAGGGATCCAAAAGGTCCCGATGCTTCCCTCAGGGCCAGATCTTGGAATTCTGCCTCCCAGCACCACCAATCCCTGTCAGGGGCAAACCAGGACAGAGCCCCAGGAGGTAACAGGAGCAGAGATATTTTTGACTCCTAAAATATGCTTCTGGACATATTTAAATTGATTTAAATTTAAATTGAAACACTGGACCTGCAGCCCAACTTTGCCAGTTGTTCCCAGTGTCCCACCTTTTGTTCCTCAGGACAATGATGGCAATAAACCCACCTCCTTCCAGTTTCCAAAAGTGCATTATTTTTATCCTGCTGGCCTGATGAGCTGCACCAAGCAGGGGCCAAAAGGATGTACAACACTTCCAAATCAGACTGGTAAAACTAACATCACAAAAAAGGGGAGCAAGTGAAGTTCTAATTAAACAAGTCCTGATTAAACAAGTTCTAATTAAACAAGCCACATCCTGCCTGTCTGGCACAGGGGCTCGCAGGACGTTGCTTATTCTTGCAGAAAACTGCATTAGGAGGTTCTTTTTAGCTGTTTCTCTGCCTGTTTTAGGGGCCATCCTGTAAATAAATGAGATGTGAAAGGCCAGGCGAGCAAAGAGCTCGTGTGGCTCCACCACCTCTGAGCCAAAACTGCCAAGATTTCAGGGCTGTTTTAACCAAAGGCAGACAGAGACAACTTTACAACAGCAAAGCAACAAAACCCTTCAGAAAATACTTTGCAATCTCTCTTTGCAGCCCCGTGAATCCTTTTCCTTTGGCTGCAAGCCAAGGGCAGCGTTGCAAGCCAGGACACGTTAATAATTAGTTTCCTTACAAGACTCGAGGGAAAGAGGCTCTTTCCTTAATCCTCTGGAAGCAGTGGCTCCCCCAGCACATCCCAGGGGCTGGAATATCTCTGCCAGTCACACCAGGACAGCAGCTCCACGGGCTGTTTCCAGGGGCACAGCCAATTCCAACCGAAGGAAGGGGGAAGGACAAAACCTCCTCCTCCTCCCACACTTCATGGCACTGTCACATCCCAGTGTCACATCACTGAATTAAGTGATCAACTGTTTTCCTGTCTTCCTGTGCTGCCAGAGGTAAAATATTTATGAAGTGTGATCATTCTTTAAGTCCTTTTGGGTCCCATCCCAGCTCATCTCACTCAGGTACTCCCCAAACCCTCTTTGCCAGCGGGACTTGGGGGAGACATTCATGCCTTTAAATTACAAAAGGTGCTTCTTAACAGGGCTTGGGGAGGCTCCATCCCTCCCAAATTATCCCCAAAGGGATGATTTCTGCTGCTGCCCCCTGGTACCAGAACCACCTTCATTTCAGGGGCAGGGGAAGTGATTCCCACACAATAACTGGAGTTATCTGCACATCAGGGACTCCAAACAGCCTCCAGACTCTGTAGTTTAAGAGAAACATCAGTGGTACAGCATAAAAAAAGTGGCAATTGGATGTTCCTCGCAGGAAAGCACTTCATGGAATTGAGACAAAGGCTGTGGCTGAGGCAGGGGTTTAACACAGGCTCTTTTAAGTCACTAATGACTTCAAAAACTTGATTATTCCGAGCTGAGAACTTAAAAGGAGACAGTTATCACCTCAGAAATGGGGGAAATTTCCCCCCTATTCCTTTTTCAGGCCCAAATTATTGCATTGGTTCACGCTGGTCATGTTTTTGAAATTTTTCCCTCACCGTTTGTTTTTAATATCTCTTCCCACCCCCCCACGCAGTTTTCCTGACCAAGGACAACACAACTCCCACTTGGAAAATAAAAAAAAAAAAAAAAAAGGAAAAAAGGACTTCACTCCTGAAGCAAAAAAAAAAAAAAAACAAAACTTTTTCTTCTTTTGTGGTTTCAGGGAGTGAAGCAGTAAAATAGATTAGACAAGTCTCAGGCAGCACCACCCTTGAAAGCAGCTCGGAAAATTCCACTGGTGCCTCTTTGCTCTCCAAAAAAATGTCAGCTCTCATTTCCTCACCTCCACAGAATTCCTGGGGTTGCTGTTCTCATAGGGTTTGCTCTTGGGTGGAGGAGGGGGTGGGGTGGCCAATCCATCAGCCTGCAACGAGGGAAAACCTAAGAGCAACAACAGTAATTAGAAAAGACATTAAAGTAGGTGGAAAAGGAACAGGAAATGGGACTGAACACGTCGAATTTTAAGGGAGGTTCATTTAATATCTTGTGCTTTCCAGCTGCCAACAGCTCTCTGCTTTAGCAGCTAAACCTGACTGGATTTGTTGGAGTCACAGTGTGTCTCCCTCGAGTTCCAAATGCCCCGAAGAGTTTTTCTCTCTCCCCACCAAATGGATGTGAGCTGCTGGCAGCCCTGAGGGAGCAGAGCCCTGCATCCATTAGCACATCTGCCTGTTCAACCCCACAACTCCCTTTGATTTTAACTCCACTCGATGGAGGAGATAAGGACCTGAACTTCAGAAAGATCCTGGCCTGCTCCTAAGGGCAACTAAACCCCCTGGATAAGTGGGAGAGGGAGGTTTCTCATTCCTCTCACAGATCTTTCTTCAGAGTATTCCTGATTTTGTGTTTCTGGTTGTCTCCTCCTCACCCCTCATATGTATTTTTTTGGCTTAAATCCCCTCCCAGCGGTTTTATGCTGGTTTGGTTCATTACTGGATTCTGAATTTACATCCACACCCGACCTTCTGTTCCTTTAAAAAAAGAGCAGCAGACTGAGAAATGCAGCATCCATGGACTGCCAGGGGTGACCCTGCACAGGGATTTTTACCTTGAGCCATACTGAAATACTGCTGCAGCATTAACTGCTGGATATGCAAGGAAGGGATTCTCCCCCCCTTCTTTTTCAGGACCAGATTGTGCTATTTTGATCTATGTTTTATGTTTTGGAAACTTTCGCACAAATTATTCATTTTGCTAATTACCTTCAAGATAAATTCCACCTCTTGTGGGTGTAACTTCACCAGCTCACTTTCCAGGCTGCAGAGCAAGTTCTACCAGACCTTTTTTACCACGTGATGGGAGTTTGTTCATTAATTAACAAAGCCCTCAGGGCCTTGCCCAGGATATTTAGGCATCCAGCTGATCAGAACCAGGTGGGATTGCTGTGGTTCCATCCTGTGAATCCACAGGAGATGCTCTTCTAGACCTGCCTTGATTTATCACCTACACTGACTGCATGTGATGTTCACCTTGAGGTTTAATATACCTTCCATAAGTCATAAAATTCTGGAATGGTTTGGGTGGAAAGGGACCTTAAAATCCATCCAGTGCCACCCCCTGCCATGGACAGGGACACCTTCCACCAGCCCAGGTTGCTCCAACCTGGCCTTGGGCACTTCCAGGGATGGGGCAGCCACAGCTTCTCTGGAAAACCTGTGCCAGGGCCTCCCCACCCTCCCAGGGGAGGATTTCTTCCCATTATCCCATCTAACCCTTCCCTCTGGCAGTCTAAAGTTGGTCCCCCTTGTCCTGTCCCTCCATCCCCTGTCCCAAGTCTCTCTCCATCTTTCTTGTACAAGTCAACACAGAAGAAATCAAGAAACAAACCGAAAAAGGTAAAAGCTGTTGTCTGGAATTCCTCTGACATCCTAATTTTAACCAGTGATCTCTAAGTGACGAGGATGATCTTCGGTAACGCAGCCAAATTTTGTGAGCTGACAAAAACGTCCACGACCATTGTCAGCTCAGAGTCACCTTCTGTGCTCTAATGCAGAGCAGTTCCTCTTTCCCTCCCTCCCTCCTTCCCTCCCTGCCCAGTGTGGTTACCTCAGCAAACACAGACTCATTTCCAGGACTTACTTTGGGTCCTGGGGGTTTTGGGGGTGATGGGGGGTGGGCTGCGAGTCGACTGCTGGAGCGAAGAGCCCTGAAGCAAAGTCAGTCTGTTGTCTCCCAGCTGGAGACTCTTTGGCCTTTGTGCTTTCCCTGACGTGCCCTGGTTGGAACAAAGGCAGACAAAACCCTTCAGAAGTCAGCCAGGTAAGAGCAGGCTGGTTTGAGGGGCCTCAGAGGATTAACTAACAGGGGAAGGTGTCAGGCTGAAAAGCTGCTGCAGTTCTGTGAATAAACTGGGCAGGGCAGTGGGGGAGAAGTCTTTCCAAGAAGTAAAACACTGAAATTCTGGGTGCAGGTCAGGGCTGCTGGTGTCACCCAGCTCCTCGGGGCTGTGAAACAAGCCTATTTTAGGCTTTCCAGAGCAAATCCTTTGCATCTGGGACTCGGGAGATGTTCCAGTTCCTTCCAGTGTCACGTGTGTCCTCTGTGCTCTTCACTCCAATCACGAGGCCACAAGAGTCCAGTTCAGGAATATCAGGGACTTTTAAAATATCAGTTTGTTGTTTTACAGAGCAGGCTCTCACTTAAACATGTAATTAAACTCACTGGGCTCTTCAGAGCTCAGTTCTCCATCAGTTGGATTTCTCTTAGCACAGAGGAGACCACACACTGGTGAATATAAAACATTTAAAGCCCAAATCTGCTGGACACACACAGCAAGCCTTTGCTTCCCTCTGCCTTTCCAGCTCCCACACAGCTCAGCCAAGAGCTGCATAAAATCAGCCTGTCCCATTCTTGGGCTGCACTCGAGCAGCAATAAAACCAGCTTTCTCTGAGCTTTGCAGGGCTGTAACCCTGGACTGGGAGCTGATAACACTTGGAATTTGCCCTCAGAGATGCTGGGGAGAAGGGAGGGTGGGTGCTGTGTTTCCATCTCTCAGCTCCCTGCAGTGCAAAGCCTTGGACAGACATTCCCCACTGCCCCAGCAAACCACACAAATGGGCTTTATCCCAGATATTTTCCCTCTAGTTTTACTCAATAAAGTGATCAGCAGCTGCCAGCAGTGCCTGTGGGCTAAAGCCATTTAATCCAGCAGCAGAGGCAGAGGGGCCAGGCCTCCTGAACCACCAACATTCCCGACTCCCAATTTTCCTGCCCTGGAAAGCCTGTCAATACCCAGTGACACCAGCCCAGCTCCCCTTCTAATAAACATCCTGCAGCCTCCAAGTGCTGGCAGCAGCACTCAGATTTGATGAGAATTCCTGAAAATGCAGGCCCTGTTCCTGCCAGATTCCGTTGGGCACTCGAGAGAGAAAGGGAAACACAGGAATTCATGTTTGCTCATTATTTACACAGCCTGTGCTAAGTCAGATTAGTATCACTGAGCTGAAATGCTCAGGTGCCCAATTCTCTCATCCTCTGACAGTGCAGCACAGCCTTTGCATCAATCAGGATAATATTCCAAGGTTCTACAGCTTTACCTGTGGGCTGAAACTTATCCCTGTGCATCAGTGATCACTGGGAATCCCACTGCCAACCCTAATCCCAACAGCTCCAAGATATTCCTCATTACAGCCTCCTGGGGGGGGGATAGATTCCCTTTTATTCCTCTCCTGCAAATAATCTGCTGAAGGAATAACCCCTCTGCCCCCATGCAGGAGGGTCTGGAGCAAAGCACAGGCTGGAACCAGGTTTTCCAAGTCCCAAGCTGGTGACTTAACGAGCAGCCCATCCTTTTCCCCTTGCCCAGCCCATCAGGCTGCTCCTCACCTCCCAGCACATTGCATTTGCGCACTGATGCCCAGTGACAGCAGCTGAACATCTGGCCTGGCAGCTGGATTCCTGACTGGCTGTCTTGGTTTGAGACCCTGGGGCAGCAGGGGTTGCTCCAACAAAAACAGGGGCAGCCCTGCAGGGCGCTGAGAGCATCACCCAGGCCCCTGCTCTGACCACGACTGGGGCACTCAGCACCTCCAGGAAGCATCAGAGCCTCCTGTTGCCAGTCTGTCCCTCCAGCCAAAGCTGTGACACCGATTTTCCACAGAAAAAAAGCACGACTCAGATGAGCAAAGCTTTTGGAATTCCAACCCCTCCCGCTGGTTAATGCAGCTCCCAAGGAGCAGCAACGGGAACGCTCCCAATCCTCCTGCTGGGGACTGGGTTCTCGCTGTCAGCATTATTGGGTTACCATTTTGGAAGTCAGTTCTGTTTCTGGCTCCTTCTCCACGATAACCTGAGACTTGCTAATGCTCCACTCCTTCCTCTTGAGTTTGCTGATCCTGTTGTCACCATCATCCTTCACGGGCGGCTCCTCAGCTCTGGAAGATGTTGATATTCTCCTCTCCAAGAGAGGCTCCAGGATAGATCTGTGGCCCAAAAGAGGGGAAAAAACACGAGTCCATCAGACCTTTCAAGGGCTGTTGGTTAAAAAGCTGCCATCTCTTAGTTTGCATGAGGTTCTTGGGAAAAACTGAATGATGAACGTGGATTTTTCAGCGAGATTCGTGCTGGGTTACCCCAGAAATTCTGAGTATTATGTCTTAGGTCCAATGAGATCTGTAAAATCACATTATGTAATGTGTAATAATGACTGTAAAGTCTGATCTGCTTGCAGAGGGAGCCAGACCTTCATTTTATGCTGAGCCCTGCACTGCCCTTCAGCAAGTCCCCCAAACCCTTCTGCTTATCACAGCTGTAAATTAAATGTACAGAGAAGTAAAACCAGGGAATGTTTCCATCTGTGGCAGCTCCAATTCCATGGATGCAGCTGCAAACAGGGTGGAAACACGTCCTGTGTGACTTATTCACCTCTTTGCTGACCACACCAAAATAAACCACCCTGCAGTGCCTTACACCTCCTGTTTTCCCGGGAAGCAGAGACAGTGTGTGTGTCTGAAATACACCCCATCCCTCTTCAGTGCCAGGCAAATAATTTGGACAGCAGCTGTGGGTTCAATTCCCAGAATTATCATCCCTATTTGTGCCCCAAACTCCCTGCCTATAAAACGGAGTAATATTACAATTTTTCAGTGTGCGTTACTTGGGAATAAACTTTGATTTTAAGAGTAACTAAAATCCTTGCAAAGGCGTTTTTGCAGTGCTGTAAATCAGGGGGAAAGGCTGGTACTGACCCATCCGAGCCTGGCCTGGAGGAGGTGCTGTCAGAGGAGGTGGAGGAGGTGGAGACCACGGAGGAGGCCACGGAGGTGACCGAGAGCCTCCTGAGGGTGGAGGACATGATGTAGGGCAGCACCACAGAGCCAGACCTGCTGGGCTTCCTCTCGGTCAGGGAGGGGGGCTGCAGGCAAAAACAGGGCTGAGAAATCACAGAATCACAGAATCACAGAATCAGCTGGGTTGGAAGGGACCTCAGAGATCATCCAGTCCAACCCTTGATCCAACCCCACCGTGGTTCCCAGCCCATGGCACTGATGCCACATCCAGTCTCTGCTTAAAAACCTCCAGGGATGGAGAATCCACCACTTCCCTGGGCAGCCCATTCCAATGGCTGAGCATCCTCTCTGTAAAGAATTTCTTCCTGATATCCAACCTAAACCTCCCCTGGTGCAGCTTAAGGCTGCTTCCTGGAAGCAGAGCCCGACCTCCCCCGGCTCCCCCCTCCTGTCAGGGAGTTGCAGAGAGTGAGAAGGTCTCCCCTGAGCCTCCTCCTCTCCAGGCTGAGCCCCCCCAGCTCCCTCAGCTGCTCCTCCCAGCACTTGTGCTCCAGACCCTTCCCCAGCCTCGTTGCTCTTCTCTGGACCTGCTCCAGCCCCTCAACATCCTTCCCAAACTGAGGGCCCAGAGCTGGGCACAGCACTCCAGGGGTGGCCTCCCCAGTGCCCAGGGCAGGGCAAGAATCACTTCCCTGCTCCTGCTGCCACACTATTCCTGAGCCAGGCCAGGATCCATTGGCCTCTTGCCCCCCTGGGCACACTCTGGCTCCTGTTCAGCTCCCTGTCCATCCCCACTCCCAGCTCCCTCCCTGCCTGGCTGCTCTCCAGCCACACTGTGCCAGCCTGTGGGGCTCCAGGGGGTAAATCCCAGCTCACAAGGGGGGAGAAAAGGGGGACATGGATGCTTTGGAGGCAAACAGTGCCCAGCCAGGCTGGCTCACCAGGGTGATGACCCCGTACTGCTTCTCCACCTTCCTCCTGAGCTCCCGGAAACAGCCCGTGAGCCGCTCGTGCAGCGGCTTCAGCTGCTCCGTCAGCTTCTCCCCGTGGATCCGGATCCCCTCCGCCAGCAGGGGCATCTGCAGGGAGGGGAAAAACCAAGTCCCAAAAAGATAAATCAGCCCTGCTGCTCCAGGAAGGGGTTTTCATGGAATCAGAGAATCAGCTGGGTTGGAAGGGACCTCTGAGATCATCAAGTCCAACCCTTGGTCCAACCCCACCGTGGTTCCCAGCCCATGGCACTGATGCCACATCCAGGCTCAACACATTCAATGCACTTAAAGGACTTAAATCAACGTGTTTTGGGTTTGAAGAGGCAAAACTAAGCAATGATGAGGCAAGGAAGCTCAGCTACTGACCTGTGGCACTCAAACCCGACAGTGTGAGCTCCAGGTGCTCAAAAATATGACCATTTTCCCCACTTATATCCACGGTTCCAAGGCCAGGTTGGAGCAACCTGGGCTCGTGGAAGGTGTCCCTGCCCATGGCAGGGGGTGTGGAATGAGAGGGGCTTTAAAGTCCACTCCCAACTCAACCCATTCCATGATTCCCTCTTGCCCCCTCAGGTTCCTTATTCTGCTTTGGAAAAATGCCATGTTTCAATGTCAGAGCACCACTTCTCAGCCCCCAGGGCTGTGGGACTGTGAGGTGGCTTTAACCACCCTCTGCTGGGTGGGAATACGTAAAATGTCACAGGATGCCACTGACATCCCAAGAAAACCAGGCAGTTTTCACCTCCCTGAGGGTCAAAACACACCAATTCCAATGGTCACCCCAGCAGGTTTGATGATTTCATAAAGAGGTAACAGACATTTGGACCCTCAGGAGGGAAAAGCCTCCACCATCTTGGCAAATATTCCAGAGTAACACAAAGCACATGGAATATTTTAGGCCACAATTTTAGGATGCAGCAGTTCCCTTAAAATAAAAAGCAACTGGGCACTGTCCAGATTCTCTCTCTAGGAAAGAAATGAGGATGAAAAATCATCTGCCCTCCCTCATGGTGCTCTCCCAGTCCTTCCCCAGTTCCAGACCTGGATGGCAATCTGTTGCTTCAGCAGCTCGATTTTATCTTGATCTTCGGGATGTTCCTGAAGATACTTCTCGGTGAAAAAGGCCTGGAAGCAAAGAGAGAACACGAAAAAGGTGATGCAAACACCACCCTGCTTTCCCAGGGGAAGATCCCTGGGATTCAGAAGCAATTCATTGCCATTATTCCTCATATTATGCCAGATTTTGCCACCTCCCTGCCACCGAGCTGAGGGAAAAAGAACCGGGGTTATTTGTGGAGAAATGGGGGAAAAAAGGGCTTTTTTTGTTTCCATAAATAATAATTTCAGTGGAACATATATTTTAAATTGAGTAAGAAAGGTCTTACTCAATTCCAACTCCCTCCTCATAAACCAGTGTTGATTGGAATAACCCAGGTTACATTAATTCTCCCTTCAATGTGAGGAGTAGACCCAAAATCTTGACTTTTCACCTCAAAAAGCCTCTAGTTTTCAGCAGCCAAGGACACCCCAGACCTGCTCAAAGGTGACCTGCTCCAATTCCCTTCAGCTTTGGGATTTAAGCCCCTAAATCCAACCTTTTCACCTGGGGCTTGTTACAAAGACTCAGTAGAAATATATAAAGCTTCTGCTGAGGTTTGGGCTCAACAAAGCACCTTTAGTCTCCATTTCTGGCTTTACCTTCAATCACCACAACCTGGTTTAAAGCTGAACAAAACCAAATCCACTTTCCTGGACTGAAGCCTTAAAATTGTGCCAATTCCCAGGATGTGCTGCAGTGTCCCACTGGAAAGGATCACAATTCCGGGTCAGAAATGTTTCATTTTCTTTTTTTTGCCTAGATAAAATCCCTAATCATTTTTTAATTTGGCTTTGAAATGCCTCCCTGAACTATTTCAGCCTCTGAATGTGCATTTTTCCTCCTGTGTGCCATTAACTGGACTGTTGGACAAGTGTTTATAGGGTTGGGGAATGATCCCAAAAAGGTTGATGGCAGGAGGAGGTGAGCCTGGGAAAGGGCTGCTGGGGAGCTCCCACAGGAATTGTCTTGAAAGTGTTCAATTATTGCAAGAAAAAAGATGTTAAAAACACAGATTTTGGCTTTTTGGCTCCAATGAAACAATTAAAATTCGAGATTTGAGCCGCCCACAAAAGCCAAGTGTTCTGATCTTCAGCTGAAATAGGAAAATATGAACCAGAAATGAGCATTTCCAGATGTGGTCATGGATACTTTGTGTTTCCTGGTTTTAACTGCTTTCCCACTATCGTAATTCTACACTTTATGTCAACCTTAATTCATAAAAGGGGAGGATTTAGGGCCAAATTCAGCCTGGCAGAGTGTGCAAGTCCTCTGGAACAAGCAGAGTCAGACCCTGGATAAATCAGCCCCTCTCTCATTTAACTTGTGCTCTTCATTCCATGTGACTGCAACACATCTGAGAAGGATCAGACGTGTTTTAACACCATCCCTTCAGTTTAGGGAAATAAGCACTAGATTTTTGGGCTGGGAATGTCCCCAGTAGGTGCTGGGAATCAACAGCTTCAATTAAACATCCCAAAAAAACAAAGAACCAACGCTGGGGTCAGCTGGATAAACCCAGGGAGGAAATAGTGCTTTTTTCCCTGAAATATTTGCTTTTTGCTGCAAAAGACTCCAAATACAGATAATTTGCTGGCAAGAGAAATCCTAATTTTCCTTCACATTAACAATACAAGGGAGAAAGAGCAGTTTCTTTGTCACCTGCACTGTGCTCTGTGCCCCCTGAGACAGGAGCAAGGTTGTTGTCACCCCTGGAAAGGAGGCCCAGGAGAGCTGGATCATCCCCCCCCATGGCAATGCACGGCACCAAAACTAAACACTGCAAAGGTTTTCCACCTTTGCAGGCAGTGGGAATCTCTGCTCTTCGTTCTCTCCTGCTCCTCTCTGAGCTCTGAACACACGGACACGGGATGTGCCGTGGCTGGGGAACAGCTGGAAGCTCAGCTGAACCTCCCAGGTTTCCACCTCAGCACTGCAGAGGTCACGGGGCTGAGCTCCACATCAGAGGAACATGGAATGGTTTGGGTTGGAAGGGATCTTCCAGATCAATTCATTCCGCCCCCGGCTCTGAGCTCCCTGCTTGTGAAGTGACCAGAATTTCCAGGGGTCAAACCTACTGGAAAAGTCGCCTCCTGGAAGCCCAGAGGGGAATTTAACTTGGTCCAGGCTGGTCTCGAGGGGAAGCACCAGGATCTGAGAGCCTCTGAGGGAGGAATGAAACCACGGGAAAGAAACACAACTTCACCTTTTCTCATGGAATGGTTTGGGTGGGAAGGGAACCTAAAGATCCCTAAAACCCCTGCCATGGGCAGGGACACCTTCCACAAGCCCGGGTTGCTCCAAGGGCACTTCCACGGATGGGGCAGCCACAGCTTCTCCGGGCAACCTCTGCCAGGGCCTCCCACCCTCAGAAGGAAGAATTTCCTCCTAACACCTCATCTAAACCTGCACTTCTACAGCTTCAGGCCATTCCCCTTGTCCTGTCCCTCCATCCCTTGTCCCAAGTCCCTCTCCAGCTCTCCTGGAGCCCCTTTAGGCCCTGGAAGGGGCTCTCAGGTCTCCCTGGATCCTTCCCACCCTCACAGCCAAGAATTTCTCCCCACTATCCCTGCCTCTCTCTCCCTATCTCTCCCTGCCCTCTGGCAGTTTGAAGTCATTCCCTGTGTCCTGTCCCTCCATCCCTTGTCCCCAGTCCCTCTCCAGCTCTCCTGGAGCCCCTGGAAGGGCCTCTCAGGTCTTTCCTGGAGCTTTCCCTTCTCCAGGGGAACCCCCCCAGCTCTCCCAGCCTGGCTCCAGAAACCTGGAAGCTCCCTGAGCAAGACCTTTTCGTAGTTGGTGTATCCCCCCATGACGGCCGGGTCCACGATCCCGTTGAGGAGCATGGACAGGGGGTGCACAGGGAGGCTCCGGTCCCAGATGTGCTGCTGGACAATGTTGGTGATCTTCTCGTTGGTCAGCTCCATGGTTTCTATGGCGTTCTCCAAGGGGCTGATCTCTTCCTGAGGAAGACAAAAAAACCAGAATAAACCAGGTTACAATAATAACCATCCTTCCCTGTGAGGGTGGGGAAGGGGTGGGATGGAATTCCCACAGAAGCTGGGTCCTTGGAGTGTCAAAGGACAGGTTGGACAGGGCTTGGAGCAGCCTGGGCTCGTGGAAAGTGTCCCTGCCCATGGCAGGAGGTGGCACTGGATGGGGTTTAAGGTCCCTTCCAACCCAAACCATTGCATGATTCCAGAAGTCTATGATTTATTCCTCCCCACTGAATATAAAATTAAGGAATTTAAGTTACTGATGTGCCACATCCAACGGGGGAAGGACTGGCAATCCTAACTGTTCCAAGGGATTCCTGGAGGGATTGGAGGGCAGGAGATGCAGCCCCACACAGAACTCACCGTGGTGACCTGCTTGACCTCAAACCACTTGAGGATGCCTGGGAATGAATAAGCTGTGGTGTAGGTTGTCCTTTCTATCCACATGGTCTGGTCAAGAGAAGGAAAAAAAATGCCAAGGTGTGAGGAAAATATTGGTCTTGCAATTGAATTCTCCCCCCGTGGAGGGTGAGGCTCCCAGAACCTTGGCAGGACCTTCCCCAACCATTCTCACCTGCACTAAGTGGGAGGGAGCCCCTTGCTGTGCTCTGTGGGCAGCTGGGGCTGCACAGCTCAGTATTGATGGATTTTGATGGATTCTGAATGTTAAAACTCCAGCTCTGGAGCCCCTTGGCACCAACACCTTGGCAAAGATTGTAGTGCCAAGGGCAGCCCCTTTTTTTTTTCTCCTGCCTTTTAATACCAAACCTCCCCGACCATTTTGACAGTTTTGGTCAAAATGCCCCCAAGGAAACAAACAAAAGGCAAAGGACTCACAGCAAACTCGTTGTCTGGATCTTTCTCTCCTTTCCTGACAGGTCTGGAGTGTGTGAATTGCTGCACCTCGTTTGCTCTGTAGTAGCTGGAAAGAAGCAGAGTAAATGCTGAGTTTCCTCACCTCCCACCCTCCTTTGCAGAAATATTCAACTCTTTTCTTCTCACAATGAAGTTTAAACTGGATATTAAATAAATTTACACCAGGCACAAAGGCACTGCAGCCTAAGTTAGTTGGGGAAAGTACAAAGGAAATGTTGAGGGGGAAAAGAAAATGAATTACTTTAGGATCTGTTCAGGAACAGGTTTATCTTTGTAATTAGGTGGCAGGTTCATCACAGGCTTCACAATAAAGCACTGCACATCTGAGCAGCTCTAGTTAAGGATGAAAAACCAGGAATCCTTTTGGGGAAACAGGAGAGCCAGAGAAACACCCTCCCTGTTTTCAGCAAGTGTCAGAATTCCCCACAATTCCCCGTGCTTTTGTTGAGTTTGAAGGAAAATACTAGTTCATCACAAATCCCAGGCATTGTACTGCATCTTGCAGTTTGTAGGATTAAAAGCCCATCAAGATAAGGGTTGTACTTATCCCAGAATCATGGAATGGGTTGGGTTGGAAGGGACCTTAAAGCCCATCCAGTGCCACGGGCAGGGACACCTCCCACTAGCCCAGGTTGCTCCAAGCCCCATCAAACCTGGCCTTGGACACTTCCAAGTATTGAAATTCCCTGGAAGCCTCAGAAATTGCTGATTTCTACTTTGGGAAACAAGAAAAAGGAAAGCAGGATTCTGTCCTGGGTTCTGCTCTTCTCTCTCACCCCCCAGTGATTTATCAGACTCTGCCAGCACAGTGGGGCTTCCCTCCCACTTCTTAAATTAATACATTTTAAACAATTCATAAATCCAACCCAAGAAAAGAACTGGTTTTAATCAAGGAACAGCTACTTCACCTCCAGCTTTTGCACCTGTGAACCACCACAGACATAAAAAAAAAAAATAAATAAATAAAAATCAGTAACAGTATCCCCAAGCACAACAGCTCCTCCAAAATTCTGTTGGAAGGACCACGCTGAGGCTTCACAGGAGGAAAAACCCTGGATGGCAAAGCAAAGCTGAAGGAATTTGACCTCCATTAGCAGATTACTTCTGGGAATCACCTGCCAGCTGCCCTCTGAAGGGGCCCTGTGGGTCAAGGCAGCCCCCACACATCCTTCCCTTCACTGAGGGCACTTCTAAGGAGTGTTTGGGAAGCCAAAGCAAGGTCATCCTGCCCGCTCTGAGGAGCCAGCTGGATCCCTGCCAGAGCTGAGCCCAACCCACATTAGATCAAACTCTGAGCCCGAGCTGATTCCTCCTCTCTCAGGAGAGCTTATTAGCCCGGGCTCTGTGCCAGGATGAGCAGCCACACACTCCCAGTCCCCAACTGGTGCACGACTGGTCTGCTGGAGGCTCCAGGCAAGGCCTGAGACGGTGCCCAGCTCACGGGGCACTGTCAGCAAAGCAAAAGGACCCATTGTTTTATCCCAAAACAGCCACAAAAACAGATCAAACGGAAGGAAAAAAGAGCCCGAGACAAAGGAGGGTAAAAAAGCCTGAATTGAAGGCAAACTACAGAACCATCAAGGTCTGCCTGACACAACACTGAGACTCCTCATCTTCTCAGAAGGTGTTTGGAGGAGGCTGAGAGGAACCTGTCCCAAATCCAAGCTGTGCAGCTGCTCCCCTTCCTCGTGGGGCTGTGCCAGAGCCCCGGAACCAAACACCCCCAAGCTTTTGGTAGAGTTCAGATCTGCATCCAAACTTGTGCAGTTCAGGCTCATCCGGAGCCAAAAACATTAGAGCAAACACAAACAGATGCAAAGGAAGTAGCTGAAACAAAGCAGCAACAGAAGAGGCAGTTTTGATACCGAGTTTGGTCTTGACTGAATTTTAATTTCCTCTGTGGATTCAGTGCTTGGCAGGATTATTGCAAGGGAAGCATCTGGTATCACTGCCTGAGCTGTGCCTCTGTGCACAGGATTTTGAGGCCAAAATGGACCATCAGATGCTCCAGTCTGGCCCAGGAACTTGGTTTTTCCCGCTGTTGGTCTGCCAGGAGCACCCCTGACACTGCCTGGAGTCACCAGCAGGGATGTGAAGCATCTTCACCAGGTTGCACTGGGTCAGGCTCCCAATGAAGAGGATCTCAAGCCTACTGGGGTGCTGGGACACAGCCTGGAGCTCCACCAGCAGAGAGGCAAAAGAAGAAGAATTAAAAAATGGTAAGAATAAAAGACCAATAAGAATAAAAAAAAAATAAGAATAAAACTCAATACAAATAAAAAACTGTACGAATAAAAACCAAGAAGAATAAAAACCAACACAAATAAAAAAACAACAAGAATAAAAAACAAGAACAGAACCCAATACGAATAAAACCCAATACGAATAAAACCCAATATGAATAAAAACAAAAATAAAAAAAAACAAGAATAAAACCCAATAAGAATAAAACTCAATAAGAATAAAACCCAATAAGAATAAAAACAACAATAAAAAACAGTAAGAATAAAAACAACAAGAATAAAAATAGGAATAAAAAACAATAAGAATAAAAATACAAATAAGAATAAAAATATGAATAAAAAACAATAAGAATAAAAATACAAATAAAAATAAGAATAAAAATATGAATAAAAATAAGAATAAAACTAATAAGAATAAGATCTGGGTTTTTTTGATTTTTCTAATTTTTATAAACTTTTAAATATATTTAATATATTATTATATATTATATATTTTATATATATAATATTTTTATATAATATTTATATTTTTTATAATTTTTATAAGTAGTTATATAGCAGAAGTAGATTTTAGAAGTAGCAACCCTGAGTCACTTACCCTTAGCACAGAAACTACACACATCCCCCCACCCCATCACCCCATTCCATGCTCCCATATCATTATCCCCTGAATTCCAGGAGAAAATGTTTAGTCTCTCTTTAAGAGCAGGCCCGTTTGTTTAGAGAACACTTGTACCTTGGCCTGAACTGCAAGAGTACAGTCGAGAACTGGGGGAACCTGAAGAAGATGAAGCTGATGAAGGAGGGGTCTCAAAAAGCCCCCAGCCCCAACTCCCAAGGGGCACGAGCACCGTGAGGGTGGTCCAGGGCAAAAGCCAGTGGGTGGATGAAACCTGGGACTGGACAAGGAATATTCTAAATTGTACCACCTGGACAGAGGAGGAGCCTGTGTCTCGTAATCTCACGCCTCAGAGGCACAAATTAAAATCCTTTTCTCATCTCACCTCCCAAACTAACTTGCCTCGGAGTTTTTTTTTTCCTCCCTGCATTTTCTTTAGGCAACACCTGCAGCCTGTTCAGGGTTCACCCAGACAACAGCTTGGTTAACCCTGACAGCACCAAGCTCTTCTTCCAGCCTGTTTAAATTCCCTGTTACAACTCCAGATATCCCTATTTTTGTGCCTTCCAAGCCCCCCCGGAGCAATGAGCTCCTTGCTTATTATTGCTGGCGACCCATTCCAGGACAGAGGCGGCTCTTGAACGTGCCCAAAACTCATCAGAAGCAAAAGATACGCTGTTTAGGAGAAGCTTTGATGTCTTCCCCTGGAGGGGCAGTGCTGGTCATCTTCTCAGCACTGGGGAACTGGGTCAGCAGCTTCAGGTTGAAGTCCTCCCTCCGCTCGTACTCCTTGCCACGGTAGATAAAGATTTTATTCTGGGGGGAGGAGAGGAAAAAAGAGAATGAGAACGAGCTGCCAAACACCCCCAGGGCAGTCTCAGAGGTCTGGTTCATGGGAAGGGACGGGGTTTAAGCTCGACAGACAGAAGAGGTGAGGGAAGGAATGGGTTGGAGTGAGAGCTCAGCAGCTCTGGGGAGGCAAGGCCTGGCAAAGGGAACCTCAGGTTTGCCTACAAAATACACAGAATCAGAGAGTAGTTTGAATTAGAAGGGACCCTTTGGTTTGAATTAGAAGGGATCCTTTAGTCTGAATTAGAAGGGATCCTTTAGTCTGAATTAGAAGGGATCCTTTGGGTTGAATGAGAATGGATCCTTTGGTCTGAATGAGAAGGGATCCTTTAGTCTGAACTAGAAGGGACCCTTTAGTTTGAATTAGAAGGGATTCTTTAGTCTGAATTAGAAGGGATCATTTAGTCTGAATGAGAAGGGATCCTTTAGTCTGAATGAGAAGGGATCCTTTAGTCTGAATTAGAAGGGATCCTTTAGTCTGAATTAGAAGGGATCCTTTAGTCTGAATTAGAAGGGATCCTTTGGTCTGAATTAAAAGGGATCCTTTGGTTTGAATGAGAAGGGATCCTTTGGTTTGAATGAGAAGGGATCCTTTGGTTTGAATGAGAAGGGATCCTTTATAAGCCATCTAGTCCAACCCCCCTGCAATGAGCAGGGACATCCTCAACTCCATCCCATTGTGTTCATATCCTCACAAACACATCCAGGTGTCACTGAGCTGCCCCTGCTTTCCAGCACCCCAAGAACTCCCACAGGGGCTGGTTTTAAGCGAGAGAACAATTATGCCAAAAAAGTTCTTTAATGCAGGGAGCTGGTCCTTGAGCCCACCGGTGGTGGGAGTGACCTGAGGGACCTCCCTGTGCACAGACAGGAGTTTTCCCTGGCCCATTCCTGACTCCCTTCACTCCATCACCCAAATGTCCAGCCCTGGCAGTTTTGCTTGACAGACCAAACACCAGCCCGAGGTCAATTATTTTTCCAGCCTGTCCACCTGGCTGTGGTGCTTTGTGGAAGGGAAGGACCCAAAAACACGCCCTGGAGGCCAAAGCCTTCTATGCCGTTCCACCACACAGCTCTAATTAAACCCTCTCCTCTTTCACTGAGCTTGGATTCCACTGAAGGCCAGAACTTCAAACAGCTCCAGCCTGAGAATGTAAATATTCCTGCATTTTCAATAATAGCCAGGAATATTCTCTGGCATGCCCATGGGACTCATTCACGCTCAGCACCTGCCTCAGACAAGAAGAACCTTTGCACTTTAATTCCTCTGCGTGGGACAAACTCTCACTGGTGTGCCTGAGCACTGGAATGATCCACGCCTGAAAATCAGGCTGATCCAGGCTGAAAAGCTACAGGATAAATATTTCCCAGGCTAAACATTCCCTAACAGCAACAATCTCATGTCAGAGGGCACCGATACAAAAGGAAGATTCTGTTTAAACCCACGTCAGGACAAACCCTATTGCAACACTCTATTAAAGCTGGGAACACACATAATTCCATCTCTTAATTGTTTTTAGACACTGAAATGCTCTGAAATACTTGAGGGATTTAGATGTGTCAGTGACACGCAAAGGAAAAGGAGTTTGGCATCGAATTCTCTTGGTATCTGTGGAAAAGTTGGGATTTTTGGGGTCCCCAGCACTGCAGGAAGGGAGTGTTGAGGAATTCTTACCCGGAGGAAAGAGGGGAAACCCTGCCCATAGTATCCAACAGCAAAGTACTCTGGCTGAGGCCTCATTGCTTTCATGATATTCTCATAAAAAGTAGCTCTTTTTTTCTGGAAAATAAAAAAAAAGTAACTCTTTTTTTCTGGAAAAAAATAGGGTTTTTTTCTGGGAAAAAAACCACAACCTCTTTTTTTCTGGAAAATAATAAAAAATAAAAAGTAGCTCTTTTTTTTCTGGAAAATAAAAAAAAGTAATTCTTTTTTTTCTAGAAGACAAAAAAACCACCCCACTTTTTCCCTCTGGACACTGCCAGGCTGGAGCTCCCAGCAGCTCTCCCTGACAATGCATTTTACAATTTGCCTTTTGGATCCACTCTCTGCTGCTTGTCCATTTACTTGATTAAATATTTGGTTTGTCTGGACCAGAACCAACTTCATTTCCTGGTTTGCAGACGTTGAGAACGATGCCATGGCTTTTAGGATTCCAGAAGGATACTTGAAATCCTTAACTGCCTGAAAGCCAATTAAATATAAATATATTCTGAAGCTGAGCAGACACAAATGGTGACAAATGTCAGAGAACTGGCAGAAGTAAAACTGGGCAGATGATCCTCCTGTGAAAGAACATAAAGACCATCTGGTTCCACCTTTAATTACTAAAAAATATAATTCAGGACCAAGAGGATTCTGTAGTTCTGTGTTTTCACACAGCAGTTTTACCACAGAAGTAACGAGGTGATGAGATTTAGGGAGCCTGAAAAAACACCTTGCAAATGTTGCTTTATTTGATTAACAGCAAGAACTCTAAACATCTGCCCATGGTACTGTCCTGCTAATTAGGAGGTCAAAACCTACTTAAAAAACTTAAAAAAAACATTATTCTAATATTAAAAACTTTACAAAGCCATGGAGGTTACGTTGGTTTGTTTGTCTTTCAACATAAAGGTATTTTAGGCTTATGCTGCTCAACAATATTAATTTAAACAGTTGGTTTGCCTTTAACATAAAAGTATTTTAGGCTTATGCTGCTCAACAATATTAATTTAAACAGTTGGTTTGCCTTTAACATAAATGTATTTTAGGCTTATGCTGCTCAATAATATTAATTTAAACAGTTGGTTTGCCTTTAACATAAACGTATTTTAGGCTTATGCTGCTCAACAACATTAATTTAAGCAGTCCAGGGTTATGTTGCTTTGCTTGTCTTTGACATAAATGTATTTTAGGCTAATCCTGCCCACCAAGATTAATCCAAGCAGCGAGCAGCCTGCTGAAAAAAGAGGAAAAAAAGTCTTACCAGGAGATTCCCAAGCCCTTCATAATCAAAGACCTTGTTTTCATACATGTCAGCCAACTCCTTGCTCAGCTGGATGGCTTTTTCCCACATCTCCACGGAGGGTGAAGGGAGGCAGGAGGGAGAAGAAGAGCACAAATAACATAAAAGACTCAGTTAAAAGCATCCCTGAGCACAGACAGGTGAACAGAAGTGCAGCTGATTTCCAGCCAGGCAGGGCTTTCATGCCCTGCCAGCTCTCCCCCAGCCCCTGGGATGTGCATTTTTGGCAGTTACAGTCAGAGAGCTGCTCATCTGTGGATCTGAAAGGCATTTACAGAGCGAGGTTTCCACTGGAATCCCGACAGGGAAAACTCAGGCACAGGGAGGTGCAAGGACAAGTCTAAACAGGGAAGAGAAGCCCAGGTGGTCTCTTCCTACAGCAGCACTTCAGCAGCTTCCTTGGCTTTGTCTCATCCCAGAATCACGGGATGGTTTGGGTGGGAAGGGATCTCAGAGATCATTTAATTCCACCCCCACACTGCTCCAACCCCCGGCCTTGGAACCTTCAGGGATGGGGCAGCCACAGCCTCTCTGGGAATTCCATCCCAGCCCCTCACAGGGAACAATTCCTTCCCACTACCCAACTTAAACCTCTCATCTTTCACCTTAAATCCACCCTAAGGAGACATTCAGCCCTGGCAGAAGCACCTCTCCAAAGTGCAGGGCCAGGATCAGCAGACAGTGCCAAAAACCTGACAGACATTCCCCAGGAAAAGAAGGAAAACCCCTCCAGTTTTCTCTCACACCCAGCATCCTGAACAGGCTTCGTTTTCCAGCTGCTCCTCAACCAACAAGGGAACAGCAGGTTCCAGCACCACCAGGACAAACACGCTGCTCGTGCCACAGCACTAAGCCAGGCCTAAGCTTCAAAAGCCTGGGGTGGGATCACACCAGCTCTTACCCCATCACCAACCTCAACCAGTGACATCCACTGAGCCAAGGACTGACCAGTGAGCAAACACTAAATAAAGTAAATTTTGGAGCCAGGATTTGCTGCCAGAGCAGGGCCAGACACTCACTTTGCCCCTGTCGAAGAAGGAGATGATTTCTTGGTAGAGTTTTTCCTTGAGCTCCTGCTGGGAGTAGACGTAGAAGCTGTCCCTCTGCATGAGGTGGGGGGCACAGGGCTTCTCAGACCACTGCACAGAGGGAGAAAGGGGAAAAAAGTGCTCATTTTCAGATGAATTAATCCCTCCAGTGGCTCTCACAGGGCTGCATTCAAGACAAGTCATCATCAGTGCAAAGGAAGCTTTGCAGTGATATAAGCTGAGGCATCTTCTCCCAGCTCCCAATTATTAGTAATAATTGATATTAATAATGTTTCATTTTATTCGTTCCACTGCTGTGCAATTGGAAAAATTCACGGCGCTCCTTAATGACCTTTGTGATGCAAAGTCAGTTAAGAAAAAAAAGGGGCAGAAAAAAGGAATTGTTTATTCTGAGCTGTTTGTACTTTGTTTAGAACCCTAAACCCTGGCGGTGGGAATTAAAACTGGGTTTAGTGGGATACCTGGAGCAGCTCTGCATGGAGCAGCAGGGTATAAGCTGCCTCTGTGAAGTTCTCACAGTCCGTGTGCAGGTCCCGGAGTTTATAGAGATACCTGGAGAAAGGAAAAGCTGCTGTGCCTTGATGGGAAGGAATCCTGTGTCCGTGTACAGAACACCAAGGGAACCCAGGCTTTGGGCAGGATTATGGAGGGAAACAACCCACCTGATATAAATGTCCTCTCGCTTCTTCTCCTTATAAAAGTTCTGCCAACAGTAGAAAAAGTCAAACTTACAACATAAAACACCAGGGATTTGCATAATTATCCCCAGACAGGTAACTTGAGCATCAGTTTTAGATGTTTTTAAGATGTTTAGTGCCATTTTGGCTGCTTAGAGCCATAAATCCCTGGTTTAGATGTATTAAAGAACTTTGCTGTTAGGATATGTTGCACATATCCCTGTAACCATCCTTTTAACACAAGGTGGGGTCACCATCACCTCCAGAAAAGGGGCAAATCACACAAAGTGACTTGTCCAGAGCTCTTGGCAGCGGAACAGGGACCCAAACTATGCACTAGGCATCTTTCCTGCCTCTGTTTCAGGGCTCCAGATTATCATCTGGCCAAGGATCAGCCCCATGACTCGATTTTGGACTGTACCCCTTCCTACGTTCACAGCTCGAGAGCCTGACTTGGGCACATCATTAACCAGAACCAGCCCAAAGAACGAATCCAAATCACCCCCCCAAACAAAAACCAATCCCTTTAGGATCCCCCAAATAACCCCAAGTCCTTCAGGATGCCCAGCAGCCAGGTGAGGAGTGCAGGCCCAGCCTCCCCCCTACCAGCACGTTGACGGTGCAGCTCATGCGGTTCTCCTTGCTCTCGTCGTGCATGATGGTCCTGTAGTCCAGCAGGTTCTCCAGCAGGCTGCTGACCAGCAGGGCAAACACCTCCCCGGGGGCAGCCAGGTATTTGTGCTTCCTACAGTGCTCCAGGAGCCTGCAGGGACACCCCAGGACAGCTCAGTTATGGTTCCAAGTGGTGCTAAATCGAATTTCGGGGTCAGCGCTGAACACCCACCCCTGAGAGACCCAGGTCAGGCAGGTCAAAACATGATTAGTTGAGCAAAAAAAAGGGGTTCTTGGTGCTAAAAGTTCTGATTTCTGATTTAATTTTGAGCCTGCTCTTCTCAAGCTTTTGCACTTTGGCACCTGACTGTGAGTTTTGGCCTCCCAGTTTAGGGCAAGTTGCTGCTGCAGAATAAACCCCTCGTTTTTTGGGCACTAAAATAGCTGCGCTGCCTCCCACCTCAGTGGAACAATGAATTAGGGTTTCTTTGCACTAGAAAAACAGCCAAATAAGCTGTAAAAAAAGGGTCTCCGTGCCCTGCATAAAACTTACAGTTTCTCCAGCAGGATCTTGTACTGCTCATCCCCTCGGCCGCCCTCCACCTCCTGGTCCAGCTTGGTGATCAGCTCGTTTTCAAACTGAAAAGGCAAAAAAAACCCCCTCAATTAAATAGGGAGCAGCTCTCAGGGGTGTGAGCTGAGCACCAGCAACGCTCCTGGCTGGTGTTTCTGACCCCACCCCACCATCACACACTGGTTTTACAGCCCAAGGGAGAGGATCCTTCCACTGCTGGAGCAGAATAAAAAGGGGAAGAGGCCAAAATGACAAGAGTGGAGCAAGGAGATAAAAGTCCTCCCTCTCTCATCCTACAAAGTCATGCTCTGGTGTCACACTCCTCCTTTCTCCCCATCCACCAGCAGATCTGTTCTGCAGGATGGAGAAGTTTCCAGCTCACAGAACTCACCCTAAAGGAGCCAAAGTGCCACCACCACTTGATTCCAACTAAATGAAGAAGTGAAAGCTGCTCAGTTAGTAAAAACTGGGGTATTTATTCCTACTTTTGGGGGATGAGTGGCTCTGAAGTGCTCCCACTTCCAGAACAACCAAAGTGCCACCACCATCACAAACGCTGGTGTTCCCAATTAAACCAACTTCTCATGGGGCCAGAACCAAGTCCTGGGGGATCATCCACACCCTGTGATGTGCAGGGCAAGGAAACAGTCTCACTCTTAACTGTTCCCACTATAGAAATATATATTTCATACATTTTTTTAATACCTATGTATATTAATATACATAGATATATCTATATCATGTATATATATATAATATATATAATATATACATAATATATAAATATATATATAATATATACATAATATATAAATATATATAATATATACATAATATATATAAAAAATATATATATATATATAGCACTGGGAAAAAAATATATAAAAATATATAAAATAAAATAAATACCACAATGGAATAAATAAATAAATATCAATTTGTCTGCAGCACAGCTGCAGTGTCCCCACCTGCCAGGTGAGATGGGAATGCCTGGTATTCCCAAGGGAAAGCTGGAAGAGTAAATCCTTAAAAGCTGCAGTGAAAACTCAGCCTCAGGGCAAAAGTGAAGCTCCTTTTCCTTCCTTACTTGCTGGTGCTTCCCAGCAGCAATAAAAGGCAACTTTTGGAGAAACTATCCCAGGGTTGGAACTCAGGGATCCAGATCCTGCTTCCTGCTCTTCTTTTTACCTGTGGAACCTCAAGCAAACCCTCTCTGTCCCTATATCCCTGTTCTCCCTTCCAGAATTATTCCAAAATGTGGCGTGTGTTGTGAGTGACTGAGGGATTAATCAGCATTTAAGCAACCCCAAAATCCTCACAGCAATTTTCTCTATAGCAACTTATATTTACAGCCCAAAATCTGTCCTGGGGGGAATTTATATTGTTATTATAAAGGTGAAGAAACAGACATTTTTTTAACCTACTATTTTAAGGTCCCCAAATTGCTTCCCAATTTAGATGTGTAGATATGTATTACATTGCACATATATATATTATATTGCATCTATACTGTATTATATTGCATATATTGTATTTTCTTGCCTTGCACATGTACAGATATTGTACATTTATGGTGTTCCCTTACCATGTGGAAGTTCCTGTTCCCACTGAAGTTGAACTCACACTGCATCATGTCAAAGAAGATGGGAATTGTTGCTTTCCTGAGCTCAGGCTCTGGCACCAGGGTGACCTCCAGGATTGGCCCCACCATGGCTGGAATGAACTTTATCTTGTGGGGACCTGCAAGAAAACTGAAGTCAGACACATCCAAGGGCAGGATCTGGATGTCCAAGGGCAGGATCTGGATGTCCAAGGGCAGGATCTGGACGTCCAAGGGCAGGATCTGGACATCCAAGGGCAGGATCTGGACGTCCAAGGGCAGGATCTGGACGTCCAATGGCAGGATCTGGACGTCCAAGGTCAG